AGGTTCATCGGGGTCGCAGGACGGCAACCAAAGTACTTTTTCACACGATCCAATATTCTTTATTCCGCAGCAATCCTCTTTCCCTTTTTGAAGAAGCCATTTTACGAATTTCTTCCAACCAACATTTCTTTCGAAATCGAAAGTCATGTTACAATAATTCAGTAAGGAATTCATCGAAACCCTATTTTTCGTCATATATCGACGATCTTATAAAAAATGTGGGTTCGTATGGGCCTGGCAATTCCTGAACATTTCATCTGCTCATTGACTTATTGGTACCTCCGGGTGTGCTAGCGAGGTCAAAACTACGTTAGGCTTTTCGGGGGCAAATCAACTCAAAATTCAGTGTAATCGTGAGGCCCTATTTAATTTAGGGAAAACTCAGTTATCAATTCTTAAATCAACTTAAGCTATCTAGACTGAATAAGCTCCATTCAAGGATTACTGTTATTCTCGAGAGCTACCCAGATCGAAGTTAAATATCAACGCCTTCAATACCATATTCTAATTCAATAAGAACTCGGTAACTTAATGTGGCTTAGATTCTTGTAGTAGACTTTTTCCAGCAATAAATAGAGAGGGATTATTCATATAATTGTGAAAAAATGTCCAAAAAAGACCTTAAATCACACAAAGGGAACTGATGTGACTAAGTCCTTATTCGCGAATCATTGATACTCTCGAGACATACTCATACATTGTCTAATACATGTCTGTAGACGGCTTAGACTCTCGAACTTGGTGTATCATCCAGCACACAAGCAAATTATCGCAGAAGCAGCCCTAAAATGCAACACTTTCGCTCGGATCCAAGTGAGCTATTTGTTAAGCAGCATGCCTGCAAGGCATGGAAGAGCGGCGGTCGCACTGCCGATGGACTGACATCCACCTCAGAGCGACCGCAAAAGGTAGGAAATTGGTTACATTTCCGCCAAAACCTCTGTCCGACCACCAGCCTCAGTGACCCTGAACATTGCTGGTTACCTGGGCTTGGCAAAGCTTACTGTGATTTATGGTACGTGCTGCCCTCGTTTGTTTTGGTGATTCACCCAAACCCATCATCTGCCCTTCTCCTCCCCTTCTCTCACATGAGGCTGGGCAATTTCCGAGACCAAGACAGTACGTTAACTGGTGAGTATATATGCAAGAGCGTTGAAGCGGTGAATTTTGAAGTAAATTATCATCTGACATTTTCGAAGCATAGATTATGTCTTGCCAATTCGGACAATCTGAAGGTGTCTATGCCTTAAATAATGTTGATGGAAGAAAGTGTATTTAGTTTCTAGACAAGGCAATAAATGCTTTAGATAAACTTTTAAATAAAATGAGACAAATAGCTTACGTACTCCTAAAATCCAAATTATTAAGTATTTAGTTGGTGTCCAGCATTTAGATTATAAACCAAGCCTAGCCAAATAAGCATGCCATCGATAAATTGAGTGTTGGAGTTAAAGGAAAGTAACGTTGTCGTACATACCGACCTAAGTTATTAATACTAATAGTTATTAGCGAGTAGGAATTGAGTATGAATTTAGAACGCATGAGCCTGATACTTGAATATTTCGCAAAATCATATGTTTAAGCTTAATGAGGGAATAAAATTTCATTTGGCTCTAACTTCTAAAAGGGTTTCGCATTCTGGTTAGACGTCGCTTCATCGTCTCACCAGCAAACGAGCAGAATTCGAAGCTGTGTTATGCGCATCATGGCGATAGGGTACAGTTTCGCCAAGTAACTACTGGTGCTAATTAGCCAGAGGACAAATGTGACTTTCAAGGTAACCAGGTCTGTCTAAATAACCTTTTATAGTTAGATTTTGAATGTGGTAAACATGTATTTCTCACAAAATAGACAACTATTTGTTTTCGGTAGGAATATTTTGGAAATTATCAATAGAGCTTGCCAATTTCTAAACATATTCTTCCCGAAAATAATAAATGTCTTTACTTTTGGATGAATTGGCGATAGGACTCATTCCCATCTATGACACTATGCAAGAGTGAAGTTAAGTGATGAGCGTTGTGTCTGCTGGTCGGGCGATTTAGACCTCATTACTGTCCTTCTTTCGGTAGGGTTTGCGGAGGTGACTAAAGATCTATTGGGCATATCCTTCCAGATAGACGTTATTTCTTCAATTCCTCTCTAATTGCGAATAATCTGTAGTGAAAAATGGAGCCCCAAGGATATTCCGACAACAAAGGGATTTTCAGTAAAATAAAGATACCGGAATGTATCTATTTTACCTTTAGATGATAATATTAACAGAGGAACCGTCTTTGTATCTTCTTGAAAGGGAATCAATGCTTATTCAATTCGGTGCGGGAGATTTTAACTTTCACTTCTTAATTCACATTTGCCAAGTTCTTATTCAAGAATTACTCAGATTCTTGTATTCAATTTATCACATATTCTTAATTAGCCTACAATGGATAATGAGGGACTATTTCTTCGACTTCTTGAAGTCAACAGTTTATTTCTCAACCATTCTGAGATATACCCTACTTTGCATTCTAGCGGTCTCATACTATAGACAGGATTCTGAAACTGCATTATTTCACTAAGACAGGCCTTCGTGAAAGTCACTTTTAAGACAGAATGTACAACATATTTGCTAAAATATACATATTATATATACTATTCATTTAGAGGAATTTGATGGTAATTTTAGTACAATAGACCCTTTGTTTCGCAATTCGAATTGGATGAAATAGTTTTGCAACTCAGTCTCAGGGAAAGTTTATGTCCTGTAGTTTTGACTATTAGTTTCAGATGCTAGGAAGTAGTATTAAAGTTTTGATATTTTAAACTTATTCTTTT